GCCGGGGGGGGGGGGGGGGGGGGGGGGGGGCTGATTCAGTGGAAGGCTTCCTCTCTCCCCCTTTTTTATGGGGCAGAGCTGAATGACTGAGGGGAGGGAGGAACAGTCTGGGGGGGGGAGGTCTGCTAGTGAGCTTGCACAATGAAGGTGTATGGTGCAAATTTTGGCTGTAAGCACAGCCTCTCCCCTCTCTGGGATTGGGGCCGTAGTCGTCTCGGTAAAGGAGGGACGGGCTGCATAGTGTGGGTGCAGAGGGCGAGAGTAGGATGTGGTGAGGGAGCTTGTGCTGCTGCTGTTGGGGGGGGGGTGTCTGTGAGCATGCCTGAACCCTCCCCAAACCAGCGCCATCCTGGGAGCCCACCGCTTGCCCAGTTGCGGCAGCTTTGCATTGGGGGCTGAGGGCGCCTTCCTTCTTTCTTTCTCTCTCCTTCTAGAAAAGAGACAGGACAACGGGCGAGTCTACTATGTGAACCACAACACTCGTACCACACAATGGGAGGACCCCCGCACGCAGGGGTAGGTGGGCTGGCTGGGCGCAGGGCTCCTGGTTGGTGGTCTCAGGAGGCAGGGGGAGAGTTCTGCTGGGACTCGCTGCCTCCCTCCTGCTCCAGGTCTCTCGGAGGACACGCAGCCAGCAAGATGTGGGGATGCCGGGAAGCCAGTGCTTTGGGGTGGGATGGGGGGAGTTGCAGAGCAGGAAGGCAAGCGGGGTGAGGGCCCCAGGTACGATCCCGGGATTAGCCCTCTGTCTTTTCCCGGCAGGATGATCCAGGAACCGGCGCTGCCACCCGGCTGGGAGATGAAATATACCAGCGAAGGAGTCTGCTACTTTGTGGACCACAACACTCGCACGACCACCTTCAAAGACCCCCGTCCTGGATTCGAGTCTGGGTAAGCCCCCTGGGCCCTCTGCCCCAATTCAAGCCGGCTTCCTTGGCCAGCCCTGCAGTGCAGGCATCCTGCGCGGCTCTCACAATGCGCACCAGGGCCTTCTTTGGCAGGGCCAGGGAGCTGTGGGGCGGGGGCTTCTGGAGACCCTCCCGATGTCTAGCCAGGGGCTGGGGGATGCCGGAGGGGCCTGGAGAGTTGTGGCAAACTTGGATCTCGGGAGAGGAAGGCATTTCCCTCCAGCCAGGAACTGAAAATGCAGCCTGAAGGGCTTGCTGGACCTCTGGGTGTGTCTCCTCTGTGCACGGCCCTCTTCTGCCCTTCCCAACACTGGGCACCAGTTTCGCTTCCTTTGTCATGTAAGTGGTCATGATGGGGGTGGGGGTGGGGGGGTTGCAGCACCGAGTCTGGGACTTTGCAGTCCAGAAAGGAGGCAATTAAAGGGGGGAGGGACATAATACAGGTTTATAAAATCACACGTCTGTGGTAGAGAGACGGCACGGAGAGAGCGCGTAGTTCCCCTTCTCCCGTAGTGCCAACACTCAGGGGCACCCCGTGAAGTTGATGGGCAGGAGGTACAGGCCAGACAAAAGGGGAAACACTTCTTAATGAATGATTAAAATATGGAATTCCCTGCCGGTGAACACAGTGGTGGCCACGAGTGTCGCTGGCTTTAAGGGGGGGTTGGACAGGTCTCGTGAAGGGAACCCTTCCCACGCAGAGGCAGTCCACGTTAGGAGGCGGCATCGGGGGAAGGCTTTGGCCTCTGTGCCGTTTGTTGGCCTGGGCGCTGAGCTCGACGGAGGGGGTTGCGGGGGAGGGGGCTGCTGCGGGGAGGGCTGAGTTCGGGTCTGCCACAGCCGGTGCTTCCTTTGCAGTCCAATGCGCTGCCCAGCCACGTCAAGATCAGTGTCTCGCGGCAGACTCTCTTTGAAGACTCCTTCCAGCAGGTGAGGTCTCGGGCGGGGAGGCCGGTGGAGGGAGGGGGAGGGTTCGGTGCCTCTGAGCCGGCCGGCAGCCCTTTGCTCTTCTCTGGCCACCCCTCCAGATCATGAACATGAAGCCCTACGACCTGCGTCGCCGGCTGTACATCATCATGCGTGGGGAGGAGGGCCTGGATTATGGCGGCATCGCCAGGTGAGGGGGGCTGGAGAGGGGCTGGGGGGCAGGTGCCCCACCTGGCTCAGCAAGCCCCAGCATCTTCTGCTGCCGTGGGACCGGAGCCCCAAGCACCTCTCTCTCTCTCTCTGTGTCCTGCCAGTGGTTTTACCCTATGGTAGGTGACGTCAGGCTGTTCTACCACAGGGTAGAACCACGGACGGGATGCCGGGCCTTCCTGCGTGGATGACGGGACGTGTCAAGAGAAGTGGGCGGGGGGGGGGAGGCTGAGAGGTTACGTGGGGCTGTGTGCACGTGCGACACGGGGTGTGTCGAGAGAAGGGGGGGGCATGGGGGCCCCAACAAAGGGCAGCTCCTTGGGGCTCCCTCCCTCCCCTCCCTGTTTGTTAAGGGAGGCACCCAAGCCGAGCTCTCCTGTCACGCTCACGGCCCGTGCTCGGGGGCACCCTCCCCGGCTTTCCCCCCCCTCGCAGGGAGTGGTTCTTCCTCCTGTCCCACGAGGTGCTCAACCCCATGTACTGCCTCTTTGAGTACGCCGGCAAGAACAACTACTGCCTGCAGATCAATCCGGCCTCCTCCATCAACCCGGACCACCTCACCTACTTCCGCTTCATCGGCCGCTTCATCGCCATGGTGAGCTCCGGGGTGTGTGTGTGTGGGTGTGTGTGTGTGTGAAGCTTGCCCTGGGGTACCACCTCCAGTCTGAAGGGGGCTGAGGGGGGGAGGGATTTCTGGCCAGCGTGTGACAAGCAGAGTGTTGGACTGGAGGGGCCATTGGCCTGATCCAGCATGGGCTTCTCTCATGTTCTTCTGTTCTCCTGCACGTGACTCAGGATGCCAGCTGGGCCCAGGAATGGCCGTTGTGAAGTGGGCATCAACGGTTTGCTCTCAGAGATGTTCCAAGCTCAGGCAGCGTTTGGAGGGTTGGGGGGGGGGAGGATCCTGCCATTCTTCTTCCAGTCCCTCCTTGTGCCCTTTGCGGCCTCTGCCCCAGGGCCTTCCTCCCACGGGGCTCCTAGCCCCGTCTCATCCCAGCACTGGAGGGAGCAGCCAGTTGCCGGTGCTGGGCAGCCGTGCCCTGCTCAGCACCACTCCACCCGAACCAGCTCTTGGCAGGGGCTGGACAATGGCTCACCCCCCTCCTCCGTCCGGCAACTCAACCCCAGTCCCTCCTTGGCTGGCAGACGGAGGCCCCTCGGTGGTCCTTCCACGCCGAAATGTTGCTTGGAAGAGCTGCTGTGTTTCCCCAAAGCCTCCCGGGGGCCTTGGCTCTCCCCCCACCGCTGAATGCTTCTCTTTGGAAGGAGGCTGGATGGGGCTGCAGTCCCCTCCCCCCCCCACACACACACGGCCCGGCCCCAGGGAGGCTGTGGCTTTGGAGACGGAAGCGCTCAGCAGGACGGGCAGCACCCCGCATGGTGCCTCCTGCGCCCGGGGTGGGGGCTGGGGGGCTGGGAAGTCTTCCCACAAAGGAGATTTTCCCTCCCCGCCAGAGTCTCCCCCCCCCAAGCCTCCCGTGCTCCCCCTCCCACCCAAACCCCAGACTATTACTCACCGCCTGGCTGGGCCGATCCAGACGCATGCAGCCGTCTGCGTTTTTCTTGGCTCGGGCGGGCAGGCCTGTGGCCGCCGAGGGCTGCTGGGAACAAACGCGGCTCTGAGGCCGTGTGGGGAGGTGGCTCCCCGGAGGGGGGCGGCTTGTTTGGACACCCCCAGCAAAGGAAGGAGAAGCCGGGAGGGGCTGCTTCTTCCCACAGGCCATCCTGGGCACTTCCTGGGGCCCGGCAGGCTTTCGGCGGCTTCTCCTGGCTGGGGGGGGCAGGCCTGTGGCCGCCGAGGGCTGCTGGGAACAAACGCGGCTCTGAGGCCGTGTGGGGAGGTGGCTCCCCGGAGGGGGGCGGCTTGTTTGGACACCCCCAGCAAAGGAAGGAGAAGCCGGGAGGGGCTGCTTCTTCCCACAGGCCATCCTGGGCACTTCCTGGGGCCCGGCAGGCTTTCGGCGGCTTCTCCGCAGACTGGCACCCACAGTGTGTGGGAGGGCTTCAGCTGCTTCTTGTCTGGCAGGGCATAAAGAGCCCCCAGGGTTGGCACCAGGGTGCCCCAGATGCCACAGCAGGGGAGGGGCGACGGGGGAGGAACAGCGGACCCTGGAGGCAACGCTCCCTCTAAGCTGGGGGGGGTCTGGTGAGCAGCAGTTCTACTTTGTGAGCTGCCGGCATGAAAGTTGTGAGCGAGCGGTTTGGCTGCTGCATAAATCAGTTTGCTCTGGAGCCCCATCCCTTCCTGGGCTGAGACAGAAAGGTGTGAGCCAGAGGCTAAAGAACTGTGAGCTGGCTCACACTCACTCAGCTTAGAGGGAACACTGCCTGGAGGGCCCCCGTCTCTGAATGTTGCCATTTATGGTGAAGGACAAAGGGCTGCCCGGGGAACCCACCTGCCCAGGGCCGACTGAGGTTGCTTCTGGTGGAGGACTATGCAGTTGGCCGGCCGGCATTTTTCTTGAGGGGGTCGGGGGTGGTGGTGATGGTGCCCAGGAGGCTTCTGGGAGGGCAGCGAAGCCGCAGGAAATGTGGCCGCAGGCACCCTGGCCTCGTTTGCACCCGGGGCACAGTCGGGCTGCCTCGGAGCCCGCGGCCTCCTGTCTGATGTCCCGCGTGGGGTGTCCTTCCCCCTGCCTCTCCCCCCCCCCCCCCCCCCCCCCGCGGAAATGCAGAGAGAACAACCTGGAGGAGTGTGGCCTGGAGCTCTACTTCATCCAAGACATGGAGATCCTGGGCAAGGTGACCACCCACGAGCTGAAGGCGGGCGGGGAGAGCATCCGGGTCACCGAGGAGAACAAGGAGGAGTACATCATGTGAGTGGGGCGCCCCCTGCTGTGTGTGCCTGAGCAGCTGCTTCCCTTCCAAGGTGGCCTCCCCAGGACGCCTCCCCCCTCCTACTCGTGCCGCTTGGCCTTGGGCAAGTCTATGCGTGAGACTCCGTTCCCTGCCCATGAAACGGGAGGGTAGTGGAGGGGCTTGCCTCTGGGGCTGCTGGCAGGCCTCCTCTTCCCGCAAGGCTGGGTCCGGAGCCCCTCCCGAAGCCGCTTCTGGGGCTGGCCTGGAGGGCTCACCGTTGGCAGGTCTCGTCCCTGCAGGCTGCTGACGGACTGGCGGTTCACCCGGGGTGTGGAGGAGCAGACCAAGGCCTTCCTGGACGGCTTCAACGAGGTGGCCCCGCTGGAGTGGCTGCGCTACTTTGACGAGAAGGAGCTGGAGGTCAGCCCCACCCCCGGGGCCTGGGGAGCGGGGGCCTCCCCTCCTGGCCCAGAGCCAAGAACGGCGGGGAGGGGCCCCTCGGTGGGCTACCGTTCTGGGCACGTGCCAGCGACTCCGCCGCCTCCGCATGCCTCCTCGGTAGAGGTGGCGTTCTCATTAGGACGGGAAAAGCTGCTGACTGTTTTGAGAGGGATGGGCAGGAATGACTTGGGAGATGTCAGCAGCCGCTGCCCTCTGCTGTCGGGCGACGGAGCCCCCTCTTCCGGCTGTGCTGCCCACTCCCCGGCCCCTCCCCGGGGGTCTCAGGCCTGGCCTCCTCCTCCTGTCTCCTGCTGCAGCTGATGCTGTGCGGCATGCAGGAGATCGACTTGAGCGACTGGCAGAAGAACGCCATCTACCGGCACTACACCAAGAACAGCAAGCAGGTCCAGTGGTTCTGGCAGGTCAGTCTCCCTTGGCTGGGCCCCCGCGTGGGATTGGGCGGAGGGACCCTCTCGTGCCACTGGGCAGGGGCTGTGGGCCAGGCACGTGGGACAGGAGTCAGGAAGGCAAGAGGCCCCCAGAGCTGGCCCAAGACACGGCCCCTGCCCGGGACTCGACGGCCGCTCAGCGCGTCCCTCTCGGGAGGAGGCCGGAGCCCTCCTCGGCTCCCCAGCCTGACGCCTCCCGGCTCTTGTGTGGGTTGCAGGTGGTCAAGGAGATGGACAACGAGCAGAGGATCCGGCTGCTGCAGTTTGTGACGGGGACCTGCCGCCTGCCCGTGGGCGGGTTTGCTGAGCTCATTGGTACGTGTGCCCCCCCCCCGGCCACAAATCGCTGAGCGCTCTGACAGAGCTGGGGAGCTGCTTCCTCCAGCCTCGGGGGCCCTTCCTCCGGAGCTCTCCTCCTTCCTCCCGGTCTTGGGCTTCCCTGAGCGCCGAAGGGCCCGGGGGCGGCGGAGGTGTGCTGGGTGCCCCGATGTGCCAGCTGTGTCCAGAGGAGTTTTGTGGGGGGGGGTGGCTGCCTTGCCCACGAGGAGTCCGCAATACACCTCAGAGCTAGTTTGGGGCCTGCTCCTGAGCTCTCCTCCTCGCTCCCTTTCTGGGGGGGAGGGGGGGAGCCCACAAGGTCACAACTTGCAGCGCTGCGGCCTGGCGTGGTGCCGCTCCCTGGGCGAAGGGTGGCAGTGTCCCCTCTCTCCCGGCAGGTAGCAACGGGCCTCAGAAGTTTTGCATTGACAAAGTGGGCAAGGAGACGTGGCTGCCCCGGAGCCACACGTGGTGAGTGGGCCCGTCCCCTGGAGGGTGGCGTGGGGCGGGGGGGGAGGGCCGGGGAGACCCTGTGCTCCATGCTCACCGCTTGCCCCTGCACCCCCCGCAGCTTCAACCGCCTGGACCTGCCTCCCTACAAGAGCATGGAGCAGCTGAAAGAGAAGCTCCTCTACGCCATCGAGGAGACAGAGGGCTTCGGGCAGGAGTGAGGGGGCGGGGGCACCTTGGGCAGCGGAAGGCCAACGCCAGCCGGGCGCTCTCGGAGGGGAGCAAGCCCCCGGGGTGAGGCGGGCAGCAGGCCTTGGGCTGGGCTGGGCTGAACGAGGACTGCAGAAAGCCACCCCCTTGTCTCCCTCTCCCCTGCCCTTGGCCGAGGGAGGGCCTGTCCCCAGCAGCAGCTTGGAGTTGGCGGCCCTGAGGGTGCCTCCCAGGCCTCTGACCGCTGCCAGCTGTGTTGTGTTCCACTCTTGCTGACCACCAGCAGCAGCAGCAGCAGCAACCCCACCGCCCTTGCCTCCCCCCCCCCCCGGAGAGGCGCAGGGCTC